CGGAGACTCTTTTCCCCAGGTCGCTAGGCGACGACCAAAATGTCCACTTTCAGGGAAAGGGACGTGAATGCGTTGGTGTTGGTGTTGGTGTTGGTGTTGGCGTCTAACCGGGCATTGAGTCGCTCGAGATAATCGCTGATCGATGGATCCATGGCTCTTCAACGATGTGGCGGTGGAAAAAAATTTGAGGACGAATTTGGGGGCGAGGAAGGGTGGTGCCTGGCTTTAAATACCATATGTCCCTCACACGATTATTGAATACAAGCTTGGGTTACTAGCAACAGTGGAGCTACAGGATTTGGGGAATTAGGAAGAACAGAAGGAAGAGGACCAGAGGTAGGAGAAGGGAGCCATCGTGACAAAGCTGTGATCCACTGGATACCTTTGCTTATTGCTCTCCCTCGAGTAGTCCTGGCCATGGGCCGCCCGGCCCCAAAAAGCCCGGCCTGACGCTGCTCCCAGGCCAGACCTGAGCCTAGGTTTTGAGCCCGAAGACTAGGTCGGGCTGGGCCTGGGCTCGCCGTTTCTGCCATTTACTGAAGAGGCCCGGTGTGTTTTTTGCTAGGATAGGCCAGGCTTGGGCCTGAAAAGTAGGTCCGGCGGCCGGGCCAGACCGGGCTCGGGCCTGAGTTTTTTACCTCGGGCTTGGTCAGGCCCGACCCAGAGGATGGCCAGGTCTACCCTCGAGTATGTGTAGTCCTTGCTCGACTTCATCCATATGGCCCGACCCGTGGTAGTTGGCCCATAGCCCAAATGGGATAGAGAGCTGCTGATAACAAAGGCCTTGGTTCTTGCTCGACAATAAATCTGACCTTCATGATGCGGTCAAGAAACCACATTTTTCCATCCCTCCACTCATGGAGGTTATGAGGTGTTTGCACCGGCGTTGTGTAACGTAAAAAATCTCTAAACTTTATTTATGCTTCCTGAATATTGGAACTCAAGTGCTTCAAGCTAAAAAAGAAATTAATAAATAATAGTGTCTATAAGAAGACTTTAAAATACTGACACTCTTATTATCTCTTCCCAAATTGGAGGAGAGGCAAGAGAACAAACTTGTGCATTTTGTGTTCACTGGAGTGACTAAATTTGTGCATTTCATTAATGAGCACCTTGGGGGCGGAGGTAAAACGTTGATGTTTAAAGCCTATGGACGTGATGCACACAAAAAAAAGCCTATGGATTTCTTCTTCTTTTTTAAACTCCCCCCATATTTTAATTAATTAATACAATCATTTGTTACAGCTGTTGCCACGCAGGGCAGAACACTATTAATAAAAATACCATCAGACCTATTTAAAAAACTAAATTTTGCAATCTCATGCGTCACCATATTCGCCTTCCTATTTATCTTGATGATTTTTAACATACTCATCATCTTGAAGACACTCAACGCTTTCTTCTTCAAATCAACAAGGTTTGACCTGTTCAGATTATCATTTGCAAAAACAGAGGCCACGAAAGAGCAGTCGGTTTCCAAAATAATGGGCTTGTGAAGAGTGATGTCAATGTAAAGGCCTGAGATGGTCGCTCGAAGTTCCGCTTCCTCAGCACTAGAGCACGTACCAATATAAACCCAAGAGGAGATAAGAACTTCTCCAATATGATTTCTGACAACCATCCCTACGCTTGTAGCGCTAATGGTCTCCACAAAACTTGCATCAACATTAATCCTGAGGAATTCCGATGTGAGAGGCAGCCAAGGAACACAATTCCTCTCCACATTATTACTGGTTGTAATCCATCGATATCACCCTTATCTTTGTTACTCACCTCTACCTTCGTGATTGCATGACAAGACGAGAAAGATGCCCAGTAATTTTGAATAAAACTCACTAAGGCCTCCAGAACATGAATATGGTTTGCTTACACATAGGCGAACTTAACTGATACAGCAAAATAAGTAACCAGTCCGGCCCCGAGCAGTTTAAAAGCCTATGGGTTTCAACTCAACGATACTTTAAACAGTTCGTATTCATTCTGAAAAAATGGAAAAGATTCGATGCAGCTTCACCACTGGGGTAGGAATTTTTCTTAAGAATTTCTTTGTGCTAATTTCAATAGGATTTCTAGCAGCCATTCAAATCTCTTTGAAACAATTCTTTGTTTTTTCTGTGATGCAATCAATCAATCCTATATTTTCCTAGTCTCGTGTTTTTAGAAACCCGCAAATCAAAAAGGCCCTTAATGTGTGTATGCTTGTTGTGTACGGTTGCTTGTTTTTGCCTGAAGAAAATACAATTGCCTAAAGTGAAGTGGAACAGCTTACAGGTAATACTCAAGAATTGGACATTATGGCAATAATAACAGCAACAACAAAGTCCAAAACATTACATTGATTGAATACAAGCTTGGTTTGCAAGAGTTGGAGAACAAGCTCCTAAACTAGTGCACACAGCACCTCACAACCACACGGGTTTACACGATTCCAAATATCCAAATACAACCCACTAATTACATAGAACACAACATAAGCAAAAGTACAGCAAATTGTTCTGATAAAAAGCAAGATCTCAACAGTCCACTAGTTTTTTTTTTTTTTTGAAGGAACAGTCCACTAGTTGATGAAACAAACGCGCACCCGTGCTAGGCACAAGTGCAAGAACCAGGGGAAAAGGGCATGATAGACGGAAGAGAACTGCTGCTCTGCTCGGCTCTATCGGGCTGGTTTTTCCTCCATTTATTCGCAAATTTCCGTCAAAGTGCACGGCCGATTTGGATTTCAGGACCTCGGTACAATGGTGAAGATATCCCTTTGACTATCACCAGGCGAGTTGATGCTTCGAACTTGTTGCCTCCAACTTACCCTCCAGCGTTTCAGCATCCTGTAAACACAGATTACCGTCAGACATGTCTCTCAAGATTGAACATTTTTTTCGACAAAGGATGAATTTTATTGATTCAAAATAGAGCATCAAGAGGATACAAACACAATAAGCACACACTCGGCCTCTACATAGCTAAGATGCACACAGTCAATAGGAACACAAGCACAAAAACACATCAGCCAATAGCAAAGTCATATAAGACCAAAGCTATCCCTATGCAAGAAAAGATAAAACCAAAGCAATCAGATCTGCGATCGACAAACTACAACAATAACTATATCCACACCAACAATTCTATGACATCACATGGACGGCGAGGTTCTTCAACAGCGACGCCATCAGAAAAGGAGCGCCGCTATCGCCGGATCCAACCACACAAGGCCAGAATCTAGGTTTTCACCATGAAAAACCAGTCCAAGCACATCCGAGCAATGCCTTTAACAAGGTAACGATGTAAAAACATCGCCATTGCCAGGTACAACCCACTCGGGTCATAGCTAGGTTTTCACCCCGGAGCTCGAGACCGAGTGCTCGTAGCAATATCATCAACATCGCTCATGTGTTGTCACCACCACTTTTCCTTGATCCCAGCAGCTACATACGATGTGCGATCGCCGTCACTGCACAACCATCCCTCTGCGTCAAGCCAACGTCAGTAGTTTGATCTTACCGTCAAAGTCAACCACCAGATCTGGAGGAAGGAACCCTCATGCAAACTTTCGGTGGCCACTCGCCGGATAAGAGTCCTGCCCATGCCTGTCGACCCAGGGGTCGAACATGACCGAAACTGGAGCACGGAAGTCAGATCACCATCGCGGACGGGCGTCCAGACGACTCGTAGTTGCCTCTGGATCAGCCGGCCGGGAGCGCACAACCAACAGATCGGCATCGCGCCTCCGGAGTCCGGAGAGAAAGCCAAAGGGGGATGCAGCGCCACACGGACCCGCGCCACCGCCGACCACGTCGGATCCCTGAGCGAGCTCGCGTACGGACGTCGTCCACCACCACCACCCATGCGATTCCATGGTTGAGGGCGGCCACTAGTCAGATCAGCCGCCAGCCACGACTCCGCGCGAGCCATACCGCCCACGCCTCCACAGCGCCCTTGTTGCGCCGCCCCGTCCAGCACCTGCACCACGTCGCGCACCGCCGCCGAGAATCAGCAGCCGCACCTTCATGGTTCAAATCAGATCGAGCCCCAACGCGCTTGGGAGCCCTGCGACACCCACGGACACGCGAGAGGGAGGAGAGCCTCCGCCGCCGCCATCAGCTGCACGGGCTTAGCCCGGCGGCATCCTCCGGCGGCGACGGAGGGGATGGAACGGAGGCCGGCGGTACTGTCGGCTGCGGCTGGTGGTTCCGCCCGTGTTGCCCACCTATACTATCCTACCCTGTCCTATCCTTCACAGGGAACTAACTGCAGTGCGCGCTGAAGGTCTCCTCTATAGCACGGAGTAAAGATCAATAGTGAAGTTGTTTATAAAATATATGGAAACTGTTAATACTTCCCTTTTTAACTGTGATAGAGCTCTCTACCTGCACTCGGCTTTCCATAATTTTCTCTAAAAGCTTTTGGTATATGCCACTGCATGATTATGAGTTTATCTCCTTGAAACATTTCCATCATTTCATGGTTTTCTAAATTATGTGCTACGAAACCAAACACTTTTCCTGAAATGCGAATTTGGCAAGGTCAAGTGACAACAACTGACTGGAATGAACATTTCACATGACCTGTAAAATAACTCATATTTTGACTAAGCCCGGGATTCCATAAGGTCAAGTACAATGGACCAGCACAACAAGGCTGAACAACTCGAACTCACTGGGTTAATCCAACCATTTGAGATGTATTCCTACAATAATTAGTTATGTGAATCTCTCCCGGTCACTAAAATTTTAAGAAATTCCCAGATGAGGGGGACCCTCCTAATGTAACAGCTAGTGTGATGGTTCCACCAAAGCCACCTGGGTTCGAGTCTCCCACCTACTCCAAGTGCAAAGCTTCCCTTACAGTTTTTCTTGAAAAGAAAAGACAGGGTTTTTCCTCCCTTTCGCCTTTTCCTTTTGAAATTCAGATTTTGTAAGCTTCTCATGAACATGCAGAAACACATACAAAATTACAAGCAAAAACAGAGACTCAAAATTTAAATATACCTTCACAATATTCTGTTACTCGATCAATACACTAGGTACAATTGCAAGCTTCTCAACATAATGCCCTTTCATGTTTCTTGACTTCCTGGACAATTCAGGGTGGCACCGAAAGATATAAAGTGTTTCCAGTGACGATGGCAGATCCGGTAAAGATTGAAGCTCTGTGCAGTACGACATTCTCAGCACCTTCAGATATGAAAGGCTCATAAAGTTCACAGGAAATGATGTTGCAGTTACTTCAGGGCACCTCTCAATCACCAGATATTTTAGTGAAGCAAGATACTGCAATGAGGATAGAGAACAAAGCGATTGACAGTTGCGAATGCACAATTCAGTGAGCACTGTGCAGAACTTAACTGTTTCCGCTACCGGAAGTGATGTTATGTTAGGAAGGTCTATAATCTCCAAAGAGGACAAACAAGGCAGATCCTGAAGAAAGCTTCTTAGAGTCTGGTCAGTAAGATTACACCGAGAGAGCTGAAGCCTTTGCAGAGATACCAGAGACCCCAGTTGTTCAGCAGCAGCAAGCTGCTCAGCCCCACTTATGTTTAACACTGCAATGGACTGTATATGATGTTTGTAGAGTAATCTATTGAGGATGACAGAACTTGTGCAAACGTCCAGCTGGAGCATTTCTGAACTTGAAGAAAAGGGTGCAAGCCTCATATATGGTATCAACCGTGTTCTTTCGATGGTAATTTCACGAGTAGCTTGGCAGAACAAAGGAATTTTGATCAATTCTGGACAATCCATTAGACTTACCCTTTCAAGGCATGGAAATGAGTTCTTGTCCTCTCTGCCAGCCCACTCACACAACTTCGGGAAATCATCAATTTCAAGGACACTTAGAGATGGAAATGCCACATCACTGGTGCCATAAAACTCATGTCCAATTTGATCAACTGCACACATCTCCTTCATGTGTAAATATCTGAGTGATCCTAAATTTCCCAATGGAGGAAGGATGCACAAGCTCCTGCAATTGATGAGGTTCAAAGAACGCAGTTGCTGCAGTGACTGCAGCCAACTGGGAGTTTTGGCGCCACAATACCTTCTAATATTAAGTACCTTTATGGCATGGTGAGGCCGCAGACCTTCAAGCACCTTTGCATCAGCAGGAGAGGAGCTATTTCTACTAGCTGAGCTCCATTCCAAATTCAGAGAATTAAGATAAAGTTTCTTATTCAACTCAGCTTTGCAGGCTTCTTCATAGCCTGAAACATTTTCTAGACATTTTATTACTAACCCATGAAGACCATCAATGTTCCTCAATTCTTCTGGTTTGCGCCCTTCCAACTTCTCAATGTGGAGCTCAAGTGATCCCTGAAGGTTTGCTAGCCGGCCAATGCCTACCAGTCCTGCAGTATACTTCATTTCAACCATAAGATGCCGCAAATTGACCAACATACTAACGCTCACAGGAAGCTTCTCAAGGGAACATTTCCCAGAGATGCACAATGTTTGCAGATGCAGAAGCTTGCCAATCGACTCAGGAAGTCTCTGGATGGAGCCATGGATAGATAGGTAACGGAGGTGCAGTAAGTCATAAATGCAATGAGGTAACTCTTTGGAGTTATAGCCACTGAGATCAAGAACACGCAAATGTTTGGACTTCTTCAAGATACTTTCTAAATTCACAGCAAAATCCTCTTGGAAGCAACTGGAGGAGCACGGAAGTGATGGTCGGATGAACAAGGTGAGCAGCTCTTCTAGCCCACTGAAGCTTGTGAGACCAACTAGACTCTTCTCAGTGACGGACAGGTGGCGCACTGTTGATGGGATGTCACATTTCATGCCATCCTCAATATGGAAGCAGTCCTCCGCTGCAACAGACTTTGCAAGATCATGGAGTAGGTCATGCATTAAGTAGTAAGTACTGGATCCAAGCTTGATTTCTTGGAAAAATGAGCGTGAAAGGAGCAGACCAAAATATTCTTTGGCTATGTCTTCCATGCTTTTCCCAGCCCTGCCTTGTGGTTGAACAAAACCCTCGGCAATCCAAAGGCGGGACAACTGTGCTGGATCAAACTTATAGTTGTGTGGAAACAAACTGCAATATGCGAAGCACCGCTTGAGGTGTACCGGTAGGTACTTATAGCTCAAGCGCAGGGCAGGGAGAAGAGCATTGTCTTGCAATCCTGTTTTCATGATCTTCATCCAGTGATTTTTGCTCCTTGTATCTCCCAGCAAACCTCCCACCAGCTTGGCAGCCAGAGGTGACCCGTTGATTTTTGCAGCAATCTGCTTCCCTATCGGGTGAAGATCTGGATAGGCATTCTCGCGACCACTTGGAAAAGCATGTTCCTTGAGGATGGCCCAGCAATCGTCGCTATTCAGCGGATTTACAGGGTATGGATGCGATGCACCGAGGAAGTGAGGCACAGTGTTCATGCGAGAAGTTGCCAGAATTCTGCTACCAATATCTGCCGACTGTAGAGGAGCCATCATGTCCAGCCAGATATCGTCCATGCCATTACATATATCATCAATAACAATGAGGTACCTCTTGGATGTAACAAGTCGACGGAGCTCGGACTGAAGCATCTGGAAATCCGCCATCTTCTCATCAGACGTATCCCAAGCTGGCTGGGCTGACCTTAAGATCTCCGCTGCCAGGTCCATTCTGTTGGAACTAGTGGAAACTGACACCCAACATCTGACATCAAAATGCTTGGCAACTCTTGTATCATTGAATACCATCTGAGCGAGCGTGGTCTTCCCAATTCCTGCAGTGCCAACAATGGAAACCATCATGTCAGGTGGAGGAACCTCGGCGCATGGCTTGACGAGCATCTGCACGACGTCATCCCTGTCCTTGTCGCGCCCAACAAACACCCCCGTCTGAAGAACTTGGCTGGCTGAACCAGGCACCGGCTGCGGTGGCAAAGTGCAGAGCAGGTTGCCAATCTTGCGAGTTTCTTGATTCACCGCCTTGATGCCCCTGGTGAACCTGTGGGTTGGCTTGGACGCAAAAAGTGCAACAAGAAGGCGGCTGCAACCACACCACCTCAGAGCGGAAAGGAGCTTGGATCCATGGGTAAGGATCTGGACCAGGGAGCTGGGTTGAAGTTTACCGTACTGGACCTTGTCCTGCAGGAGCTTGATGAAGTGGACGGCGTCCCTGGCCTGCAGAGCCAGCGCCCTGTCGCCGGCACGCTGTGGGTAAGCGCCGGCACAGATGCTCCAGATCTGGAGCAGATGGGCGATGAGAAGGTCCAGCTCGGGGTCGGCGACCTTGGACCGGCACCTCGTAAGCTCCCATTTCCGACGGGTCCTGTGGCAGGAGTGGATCTCGGCGGCCAGTCCCTCCATGGCACGAAACGCCGAGAGGACCAGCCGCAGCGCCTCCGCCAGGCTTGCAGCATCCAAGCCGCCAGCTTCCTCCATGGAGACGGAGGGCTTCATCCACTGGCTCTTGCCGCTGGCGGCGGTTTCATTTGGGCGTCAGATTCGGACTGTGTTGGGTGGTGCCTCCTCTGAGCTCTGAACTGATGGTGGTTGCTGCTCTTGAGGAGCCTTATCTACACTAGACCAGCCAAGAGCAGTCCACCGCTGCAGTGCTTCATAATCATATACTCCTACAAGAGCAAACAGTGAACATTGGATGGATCTGGGCGCTCGTTTTCAATCAGACGTGCGGTACCAGTGGATTATATTACATAGGTGTAGCTGTTGGAAGCAAGACCTGGCTCAGTACGCAGCGTCGTGTCAACATCTCGCGAAACTACGCGGAAGGTTCCCTCCGTGCCCCCGTCCCTGTCAACTTTCTTCTTCTTTCTGATGCCCCCGTCCCTGTCCACTTTCTTCTTCTTCTTTCTTATAAGTAATACTCCCTCCGTTTCAAAATAGATGACTCAATTCTGTACTAACTTTAATACAAAGCTAGTATACAGTTGGATCATCTATTTTGAAATGGAGGGAGTACGTAATAACAAGAAAACCACGAGTTACGACACGCTCGCATCGACCGTGTGAATGCTCAGGTACGTGTGAATGCTCAGCTAAGCTAGAGCATCTCTCTGGTAGAACCCTTATATCACGCCAACCTGTAATGTAAAATAATCGTCGATTTACAGTTTTACGTGGAAAAATGATTTGAACAGTATAGTGAAAAAGCAGTTGGCGGGAGAGACATTTCAGCCCGCATGTGCTTCTCTCCCCCATCATCGCCCACCCGCCGCCTTCGATTCCGGCCATATCCGCCAGCTGAAACACACAGCCGGACTGCTGCAGACCGGGGTCCACCGCGCCGCTTCACCGGCGCCATGGATCCTCCACGCCCGGTCACAGCCGCCTCGAATCGACCGCCGCTGAGTCACCGCTCGCCCTGAATCCACCGGTGAGTCCTTTTCTCGCCCTTCAAGTTAGATTTAGCGAACGATGTGCGTTCATGCGAGCTACGCTGCGATTTGTAGATGGATTTGAGCCCTTGCGAGAAATTTTTGCTCGAAGATTCGTCCTCGTCCGACGTCTTAGACATAGAGACGCTGCTCGAGAACAATCGACGTCAAATGGTGGTGGTGGTCCTCGCCGCGAAAGAGTTCGAGGATAGGAACGGAAAAAGATGACGAGGATCGACTGTCGGCCGCCTTTGCAACCCTCGCAACCGTCATCTCGGAAACGTGATGTTGATGCAAGACTACTTCACGGCGTCACCTACGTATCCGCCACACCTCTTTCGGAGAAGGTATCGAATGCGCGAATCCCTCTTCGTAAAAAATAGTAGAAGCTTGCTAGGCCAATTCTCGATTTTTTACCAAAGGAGAAACGCCGCAGAATTGAAGGGTTTTAACACATACCCAAAGAAATTCGGCAGCTATGCAAGTGATTGCATATGGCATTCTAGTTGACTATGCCAATGAATATCTTCTCATTGGCGAAGATACTACAATTGAGTCAGTGTGTAGATTCGCCAAAGTGATCATCTGTGTCTTTGGTCCTACCTATCTTCGGGCACCCAACAAGGAAGAGACAAAAATGTTGATGGCAACAAATGAGAAGTGAGGTTGGCCGGGCATGCTCGGAAGCGTTGATTGCATGCGTGGACTTGGAAAAACTACCTGAAGGCATGGCACGGGTAGTATTGTGGCAAGTCTCGAGAGGCAACTAGGGGTATGTTTGGTTCTTGCCTGTAGTTGCCCTGCCAATATTGGCTTGCCAATTATTTGGCGTGGGATTCTATTTTTACAATAAAAGGACATGAATTTTATAAATATATGGCCACACATTTGTATAAGCATAACAATATATTACTCAACAGTATGCGCCCATCTATATTTATGATAAAATGATACACTATTTTCTAAATATATCAAGATATGAGGCATGGAGGTTTATTGTGCATAAACTTACCCACATATTGGGTAGTAATCTAAGTAGTGAATTTGAATGGTTTTACAATTGAAGAAAGAAATTACATGATGCACCCAAAGTAAATGATTTTTTTCTTTGACATTTTATTTTGTCACATCGTTAGAGGAAAGTTAGGAAATTGCACAGAAAAACTACTTATTTTAGTAAAATGTGCCCTTTCCTGAGTAGGTCCAGATTTTGCATAATAATGATGAAAAGAGCTATAGCTAGAAAGAAAATTATACGCAGTAGCATGAATAGCTGGAATTTTACCATAAATGGCAGCAAAGATCATCAGGAAGCCCCCGGGATAGAAAAATGAGAAAATTCCTTATTTGGCACTGTCTTAAAATCTGGTTCTTTATTTGACACTGGAAAAAAATTTCTTCCCTATTTGACACTAGTCCTAAATTTTATTCCCTATACGACACTTTCGTCCATTTTAAGCCTAAATGACACCTGAAAAGACGATTTTGCCCCTCATGCGGTATGTGTGCGCGCGCGTGTGTGCTGTTGCGTGTGTGGGTGCACACGCACATGTGTGATGCTGCTGCATGTGTGTGCATGTGTGCCGCTGCGTGTGTACGTGCGTGTGTGTGTGTGTGTGTGCTGTTGCGTGCCTATGTGCTGCCTGCATGTGTGCTGCTTGTTGCGTGTTTGTGTATGTGTGTGTGTGCTGCGTGCGTGTGTGTTGCTGCGTGTGTGCGTGCGCGTGCATGTGTGTTGCTGCGTGTGTGTGTGTGTGCACGTGCGCGTGTGTGTTGTTGCGTGTGTGTGCGTGTGCGTGTGTGTTGGTGCATGTGTATATGTTGTTGTGTGTGCTCCTGTCCTCGCACTGGTGCTGCGTGTGTGCGCTATTGCCCCCTACACACATACCACATGAAGGGCAAAAGAGTCTTTTCAGGTGTCATTTAGGCTCAAAATGAATGGAAATGTCATATAGGGAATAAAATTTAAAACTTGTGTCAGATAGGGAAGAATTTTTTTTTCAGTGTCAAATAAGGAAGCAGATTTTAAGATAGTGTCAAATAAGGAATTTTCTCTAGAAAAATAACAAGCATCTTCAGCGTCCACTAAATTTCCCCATTGGCGCCGTGTCTTGTGAAAAAAATCTGATCACCTAGCAGAATATGCCATCCTTGTTGTAATTGATTCCTAATAACCCAAATTATATGGATACCAAATATACATGGGTAAGTGATCAATTGCTTTCCTTAGAAAAACGTGATAATGTGCAGGTGTGGAACACGAACTTTGGCAGCAAAGAATGATGTTAGTATACCGCAATCAGCTCCTCTTCCCCACTATGCGTAGAAACAGCAAGTGGGAAATTTATAAACTAAGATGATTTGTAGCATACTGTGTCTATACCTAATTTGAGACTGTACGTCATGACATGCAACTGCAACCTTATAATTCCAGATTTCCTAGTGAGAACCTCCATATCACTTTTCAAGTCGACCATTACGTATTGCACACATATCTTTCTTGCATGAACCTCATAAATAAAACACATTACTCTAATCTGATCAGAGAAAAAAATGAGGCATCACTTATTAGGTGGAAACTGATGTGCTATTTCATAAAGGCTGATAGTTTATTTAACTGGTCGAAATTTTCCAACTGAAAAAAGAAATTAGAAGAAATTGATGACCAATTACATAGTAAAATCATTCCAAACCCTCTTTTCCATACCACTCTATTCCTAGTTGTAAGGGTTTTTTTTTTGCGGGAAGTAAGGGTTTGGGGTTTCACATGGATGAATTCGATAGAATGACGCCGAAAATAGTAGCAGGTACAAACAATATCAAGATCGATTATACATCCAAATCATTCATCATCGGTCTGAATCATGCAAAAAATAACGAATCTTAGGAAACGGAGTTTAAACTTTAGAAGTATCCAAATTATGTGGAACATGACAAAACATAGGAATTACATGAAATCTATAAATTTTATGAACAAGCTCATATAATCCTTGTAAGATTTGGGTCCGTGTACTTGGAAATGGAACAACGAAACAATAGCATCTGAACAATAAATGTTGTTGAGTCAGCAAAATGAAAATACCAACAATTGCTGGCTTTATTACCAGGAAACGAAAGAGCTGAATGTTATTTACCTGAAGCAACAGGCAAAGGCAAAACAGAATGCTACTCCCTCCGTTCGGTAATAGATGACTCCAGGGGAGGCGGAATCGTGAACAAATCAATTTTACAATAAGGCCCTTCCGAAATTTGAAATCATTACAATCCAGTACCCAGTTCTCCGTCCGCTCGTCGCGATCCACCGCGCGGAACCTCCGTCCGCCGGCCAGAACCTCGATCTCCCGCCGGCCAGAACCTCGAGCTCCATCCCTAGCACTAGGACCCCGTCGCCGGCGTCAGCTCCTCGAGCTCCCGCACCCAGCACCTCGAGCTCCCCACCTCCGAGTACCTCGAGCTCCGTCTCCGGCAGCAAGATAGCGCCGGTGACTCCAGCACATCGAGCTCCGTCTCCGCCGCTGCCAGGATCAGGCGCCGCGGCTCCATCTTCTGCCTCTGCCAGGCTCAGGCGCCGTGGCTCCATCTTCCGCCGCTGCCAGGCTCAGGCGCCGCGATTCCATCTTCCGCCGCTGCCAGGCTCAGGCGCCGCAGCTCCATCTTCCGCCGCGGCTCCATCTTCCTCTCCTCCTTGCTGTAGCGTGGGAAGGTGTCCCTGCATCTCCACGGCAAGGTTCGTGGCCACAGGGGTGCAGCTGCTACCACAGGTTCTTCTATAGATGTTGATCCTCTGAACGATCTGTAGATGTTGATGTTGGTGTTGATGCTACCACTGGTTCTTCTGTAGATGCTGATGCTACCACAGGGGTGCAGCTGCTACCACCATCTCCTCTGAAGGATCTTCTCGCGCGCCACCACTGGTTCCTCACGTTTTTCTGTCTCTGTAGATGTTGTTTGAATGACTTGAGTTGTCTGAAGAGAGCCAGTTTCTTCAGGTGCATCAGTGAGATCAACCAAGTTGTCATTGAGGAAGCTTTTAAACTCCTGGAAGTTCTCCTCTGTGGGGCGATAGTGGCCACTGTGAGGCCAAATAGCCTGCCAACAATAAAGTTCAGGTTGTGTCAGCATGTTGCCTGATAAAACTGGTGTAAGAGCTGTTTGCAGATAAGAATTGCATACCTTCAGAGTCCCATTTTGAGCAACCAGTTTCCTAGCAGCAGATGTAGCTCCCCCAGCAAGAAAGCTAGAATGCTGAAATTTACCTTTCTTCTTCTGCAATTTATAAAGGCAAAAAAGATTCATATTACACACTGAACTGACATTTCTACAGTTGATACATTAGGGCTGCCTATACAAAAGCACCAAGTAGGCTACTAGAACGAAAAATAAAACTGAATCTCTTGTGATTATCTCTCAGTCTCTCAGCTCACGTATAACAAATTATCAAGTGAGGCAACATATTTCAGTCTATCGGTCTTAACATGTGCATGTTTTGAAACAAGTGAGGCATACCAGAAATCATGAAGCAAAGCAATAATCTTAAAAAGTCAGAGGATAAACAAATTAACATGCAATGCAAGAATTTTAATTGCGTACTCCATTTTCAACACATTTCTGTCTTTGTAATAATCCTCAATTATTATTTTCATTCTTTATTTGCACAAACTAAAGTAAAGATAAACTGGATGAATGCCTACAAGAGATGTAATGAGGCTCTATATGTGTGAGAAACTGATTCCAGCTATCCATGACCTGTGGCCCGATGAAGATGAAGAACGGACCATCTTTATCCAGCAAGATAATGCTACACCGCATCTTAAGCCTAGTGACGAGGTTTTTCGACGGGCCGTAGAACAGACCGGTCTGGATATCAAGTTGATCCAGCAACCTCCAAATAGCCCCGACCTGAATATTCTTGATCTTTGCTTCTTCAGGTCTCTCCAGTCGCATACCGATTGCAGAGCACCTCAAAGCATAAGGGAATTGATAGAAGGCGTGGAGGAAGAATATCAAAACTATGATGTCAACACGTTAGCTCGAAGCTTCGTGACACTGCAATCATGCATGAGAGAGATTATGAGAGAAAAAGGAGGGATAGGCTACAAGATTCCTCACATGCAAAAAGAGCGCCGGCAGCAAGAAGGAAGGCTTCCTATCGCTCTCTCTTTAAACGTTGAGCTAGTTGAGCAAACCTTAGCACTTATAGCAGCAGCAGACCTCGAGGCAGCAGCAGCAGCACCTTTGAAGCAGAGAAAGAGAAAGAGGAGCAGCAGCACCCTCCAAGCAGAGAAAGGGAAAGAAGACCAGCAACATCCTCCAAGCAGCAGTACTCTACAAGCAGTAGCAGCACCACCACCACCTTCGAAGCAGAGAAAGAGAAAGAAGAGCAGCAGCGCCCTCCAAGCAAAGAAAGGAAAAGAAGCAGAGAAAGGGAAAGGAGCAATTCCGTGCGTCCCTGCAAAGGTTGTGTTCAGCAGGATAATGGAAGCAGTTTGCAGGCCAGTAATGTGTTAAATTTCACACAATCATTTCCATTGTTGATGACCAGGAAGAGCATAGGATACGAGCACAGATTGTGTGTAAACTCCAACAGATTTGATTACTGTATATGAAAGGAAAGGATGATGCAATTTTTTTATTAGCAACATGGCAATCTCTGTGTCAATAACTATGTGGTTCAACTTGTATGATTGTGTGAGCATGAAGTGGTTGTGTGAGCATGAATTAGGAGTAATAATTGTTTCTTCTAGAAACACATCAGTGGTAATAATAATAATAACAAATGAAGCAACTAACTGACCTTGTATTGCAACTATTGACATTGTATTGCAACTAAATCCGAATGTGCTGCTTCAGGTAATTGACATTGTATTGCAACTAAATTGTTTTTAGAAAATGCAGATGTCATTTTTGTCATATTTGGGACTCTGCAATTTCTTACTCACTGAATTTATCATATAATGTGGTTCATGATCAATGGTGAAAGAACTGAACACAGATGGTTACCATGGGGGAGCGTAGTGATTGGAATTGCTTATCCTCTCGGACGTCGACACGCAGTTGTTGGTCGCCGGGCACAAGGCAAGGGAGGGGGGCCTCTTCTGCACGCCAAGGTAGCTCGCCTTTGTGCCACTGGAGCAGCCAAGAGAGCAAGAGAAATAAACAAACACACATGTCAGACCACCAGAAAAGAAGAAATTCAGTTAACTGGTAACTGCATCCCCTTCTTCAGAGAGAGCTCAGGTTCTGAATTTCCCCTTCAGTGTACACACAAGTGGAGAACAAAAAATCTAGCAGAAACAGAGGACTGAACCAAGATACGGCAAAGAATAGCTGCATGTTTCTGAAGATGCAGCCTAGTGCCCAAATCTGTGCGCCATCTGTGCGGGATTTGTGCGATCTCAAGTCGCACGCAAGTGGCAGATGGGAGTACAGACTACAGAGAAATGACTAATGCTTTGATCCAATGACTACTGGCAAGCGGGATTTGTGCAGGACAAAAAAGACTAATGCTTTGATCCAATCTTATGGCGCCTACAGACTACAGAGAGGTTAACTGAACAGTATACTTGAGAATGGAGAAAGGGATTCCAGAGGTGAGAGGTGGCTAGGCTGACCGTGATGTAGATAACGAAGGAGGCGACGATGGTGCGGTACCGGCCGAGCCACGAGCCGGCGACGGCGGCGCCGAGCAGCGGCAACATCGACGCGGCGCCCGACCACGCATTGACGGCCGCGGGCGCTAGGGCAGCGGCTGGCGGAGCTCCTTGGCGGGTGTGCCGGCTGGCTCGGTATAGAGTCAGAGCTTGCGTACTGCCGCTCCAGGCCGCCGCCCGCAATTCTGCCGGCAGATCAACCACCGGCGATGTGGCAAAAATTGAAGCTTGAGACGGTGGGGAACGAGGAGGGGGACGAGCCGGCAGCATCGCAGCGTGGTTCGGGGGAGGAAGGCGGCGTGGGGCGGGGGAGGGAGGAAGGCGGTGGGGGGCGGCGTCGGAGAGCCAAGACGGCGAGCGGGCGAGCAAGAATGGTGAGCGACGGAGTTCTATGTCGGGAGCGGAGGACCGCGGGATTGGTCGGAAAAAATAGAAGGACTGTTTCGCAAAAAATACGACGGGGTCATCTATTACCGAACGGAGGGAGTACTTACATAGCCCGCAAAGGAGCTCTGTAATCTCCTCTAGTGGTACAATTTTCAGTAATGACTGGTCTGGGCAGTGTGCATCGGTCACACTGCACCATTTCCTTAATAATCATTTCGAATAAGACATGGATGTTGTCCTTAGGGTGGCTGCACGTGCTTGGCATTCTTTCCCTCGCGCTTCTTGTGCTTGAAATCCTTCAATCCGCCATTAGCTTCACCGTTGACACCTTTTTCTCTGCATCACCCGGCTTGCACCTCTTGGCATCCAAAATTTTCTGCCTCTTTACCTGAAAGTCATAATTGATGTAGATTGTCAATGTATAAATCCGCAAATCCACAGCGGCGCACAGTTGCTTTTTGAAACAAAACGATTCACAAACAAACACATAAATCCAATACTCTAAATCCCCAGCCAGCAGTGATATGGTTATGGAGCCGATTCGAGGTGATGGCGATCCAATGAAGAGCTTGAGAGGCACTGTCGGTCGCCGTGTTGTGCGTGTGGGACGAAAGCCACCTCCTAGTATCACCCTAGTGGGAATGCGTCGCCGCCGGCCACCACCACCTCCAGAGTTGTCAGGATTTCTCGAACGTGGAGAGAGAATGCGGGCGGCCAGCGACGTGGAGGGCAAGAGGGCGCCGACGAACTGTTTGTTGGGCCAGCAAGGGCATCGAGGAGGATCTTGGAGCAGCAGAGACCTCGAAGCGGCCCACCGACCTTCGAGCAGCTGCGACCTGGAGGCGGCCGCCATCATGCCGGCGTTGGGAACTGGGGCTGCGATGGGTAGGGCAGCGGCGAGATGCAAGGTTATGGAGGAAGGCAAGATCACACCGTAGTAGAAGAATGGGAATGACCAACGGAAGCAGATTATGGCGTTGGAGGCGGCGGCGGCGGCTACTGTGGTGGGATGACGACGGGCGTCACCAGGGTCGTGGATGGGTGAGGAGAAACGTCGTGCTGATTTTTTTTCTTTGATGAGGGATTCGTGAGACTGAGATGGGCTTTCCTGCCGATAAGGCCCAATCAACGGGAACGCACCAATTTTTCTATCGGAGTAGCGTCCCTCTAGGACAGCAGGCCCATTGAGCGAGAGATGGGGTGCTAACGGAGATCGGATGGCCAGAAATGTTCAGATCGGGAAAACGGACGGCTAAAAAAGCAAATCGCTGTGAGGGCTCGCTTTAGGCTCGGTTATACTGTCCTAAATAATTATGCTACATGCCATTGCATCCGAGGATTTATAGATTTGGCATTGCTTCTTTGGTTTGTGGGGTACTCTCAATGACATCAATGTGGTGCATCGGTCTCATTTGTTTGCTAGTGATGATGCCCCTGCCTACAACTACACGGTGAATGGGCATTAGTACACAAAGGGCTACTATCTTGCTTCTTGATCTATATTTGTCAAGACCATCACAAAACCCCCCAAAAGGAAGCAAGCTGAATTTGCAAAGGCGCAAGAGGCCGCCCGAAAAGATATTGAAAGAGCCTTTGGGGTTTTGCAAGTTAGGTTTGCCATTATTTGTGGTCCTGATTTTTTTGGGGGGCAAGCGAACGCTGAACAACATCATGACATGCCCTGTGATTCTTCACAACATGATCATCGAAGATGAGACGGACATGGACTTGAAGTTCTTCTACGACAATGTCGGTAACCGGGTGAAGCCATCTAGAGACCTTGACCGCATACAAGCATTCATTCAGACATACCGGAAAATTGAAGACTCAAACACCCACCACCAGCTTCAGCATGATCTCATTGAGCACAATTGGCAAATACATGTGCAGTAATAAAACCTGCATTTTTACATTCATTTAGTTTACTTCATGTGTGATTTGTACCATTGTTGTATTCGGAATAATTCTTGTATTGTTATAGTTTTTAAATTTGAATAACTATTGTAATTTGGATGATTATTGTATTGTAATATTCAGATTTTAATTTATTTGTAAATTGAGAAAAAACCACATGTTTTAAGAGCTGGCGCGGGCTGCGGCGGAACAGGGCCCGCAAGGCCGAACGGTAAAACAGAATATTCATAGAATATCCTATTTTACCGTTCGGCTGCACGCCGTGTCAGCCCTCAAAACACGTTTTTCGTGGCTCTTATACTCAGTTTACAGCTTTCCGTGATAAGGGGTTTGCTAGAGATGCTCTTAGTGTTATTTGGATATAGGAAATTAGATGTGAGATTTTAGAAAACAAGTTTTGAGAAGATTTTTAGGAAAGACAGTTTTGGTTACTTATTCTGTTAAGGTAAGCATACATGATACCTTGTTTGGATGAAAAAATTAGAAGAAGAAAAAACCCAATTTTGAGTTCCTTCCAAAACAATTCATTGAGGTGCGGTGCTTTGGCTTTGCTTTTGGCACCTACATGCACAGCGGTGGACAAACACACCATAAACGGCTCTCTAGCGAGCGGTAACACCAGGGCACAACAGACATGCTAGGCTAGGGAGGCCAGACGACAACGTATAAGCTGGAGCATACGGACGACGACAGTGGTTGTGAAGCGGCCGATGAACACGACAGCTGTCGGGCGAAGTCTGCATCCGTCATGGAGGCTCTGGGCTAGATGGAGCATCGCAACGTGCTCCGGCTACCTGGACGAGATCGGCAACAATGTCTTGGCTTTGTCAAGCTGCTGTCGCGGACGGCGGAGTTTACCATGCTCAGCGCGTCGGACTTCGTTGATCTCCTGATGCATATAGAAAACATGTTCCTATAAAAACGTCCATTAGACATTAGTGGTTTCTGCATAAACTAGGTTTTTGGAAAACTCGGTTTAGTAATATCCACGAGTTAGTTAGATGATCCAAACAATGTTTTAGGTCGTCACATCAGAAATTGGGTTTAAAGAAAGGCCTCCTTTGATTTGGAGGAATTTCATAGAAATTCTAGAGGATAGAATTTTTTATAGGATTTTTTCCTTTAAAGCTCTTTGGTTTATAGAAATGGATTCTTATTCCTACATAGGATTGATTCCTATCCTCCACATTTTATAGGAAAATAAAAATGAGCCTAGACTCAATGGAAAAATTCCTTTGGTGTCAACCAAATGACATCTCGTTTCCTATTCCTACTCATAGGATTTGAGATACATGTCATCTCATTTCCTACAAAATTCCAATTCCTACGATAATCCTATTCTATAATCTAGGTATCCAAACAATCGAGCATTTACAGCAGCATATGACAAATATGATTCTCAAACACCCACATACGTGTCCGGGCAGTGACCGGACATTCCTCAAATTACCACATCTGCATCGGGACACCCAATACTAGATTCTTAAATTCATACAAAAGCATGCAAATGAAAAAACCTACGTACTACGTAGATCACTAGCTACTCCTCATTGGAGAAGTCGACTATCTTTGTGCCCAGCTTCGGGTACATGGGCGGCAACTGCAACTCCGGCTGCTCCGCTCAGCATCCTCCTCTGTCTCCATGTCAAGTTCGGCGAAGAGCGCATTGGTCGCCGCCCGTTCCTGTCAGAGGAACTCCCGATTGGCCTCCATATAAGCCTCATCCTGGATGGACTGAAGGATGGCATGCTGCTCTGCCATCTCCGCAGCTTGGGCGACGACGAACTCCGCCTCCGCCTCCTCCATCCTCACCCTCCTCTGGATCCGCCGCCTCCATCGGTTCCAGCAATTGATCTCCCTCCTCCTCCTTCGGTTGCTCCTCCTCCTCTGGATCTAGCGAGCCCGGAGGCAGCCCGTCAACGATGTGGGCGGTGCGCCTAGCCTGGATCTCCTTCGTGATCTGCCTCCGGTGCTCCGGCGTCAGCATAATGTACGTGGTGATCTTCTGCCGGACCATGGTGATGCCGGAGAGCATGGGAGAGCGGGAAGAGGATGCGGAAGAGCTCGGGTGGCGGCGCAGAGAGGGAGCAGGTGGATGTGTTAGGGTTGGGGGACGCCAGCCAACTTAAATAGCCGAGCCTCGGGCGGTGAGTCGGTGCGGCGTTCACACCGCGGCGACGGATGAGGCATCCGTCGGACCATCGGGTTTTCGGGTGATTCCACATGAGCCCTCATCATCAATCCTATGTGGCGGACGCGCCCGGGCGCTGATGTCTACTACGCAACTTTATTCTTATAGACACGTGTTGAGCCTCCAAGTACAGAGTTTTGTAGGACGGTAGCAATTTTCCCTCAAGTAGATGACCTAAGGTTTATCAATCTGTGGGAGGTGTAGGATGAAGATGGTCTCTCTCAAACAACCCTGCAACCAAATAATAAAAAATCTCTTGTGTCCCCAACACACCAAATACAATGGTAATTTGTATAGGTGCACTAGTTCGGCATAGAGATGATGATACACGTGTAATATGGATGATAGAAATATATTTTTATAATTTGAATAATTAAAAACAGCAAGGTAGTAAATAGTAAACGGGCACAAAAAACGATATTGCAATGCTTGAAAATGAGGCCTAGAGTCTGTACTCTTGCTAGTGCAATCTCTCAACAGTGCTAATATAATTGGATCATATAACCATCCCTGAACGTGCAATGAAGAATCACTCCAAAGTTCCTATCTAGCGGAGAACATGCGAAGAAATCGTTTGTAGGGTACGAAACCACCTTGAAGCTATTCTTTCCGATCGATCTTTCAATAGTTCATACTAAAATAACACCAAATAATTTCATATTCATAATAAACTAACACAAAGAATTTCAAAAAGTGCCCCAATATTTCTACCGGAGAAACAAAAGACGAGAACGTGCATCAACCCTTATGCATAGATTACCCCAATGTCACCGCGGGA